GATCCAAATGTAAGGAATGATTATATATATAGACTTGAATTGAAATTAGAAATTAGAAAATGCTTGATAGTATTGATAAAATGATTGATGAGCTGAAAATATCGTTATGTTACATGTACATAGTATTACGTATTATGTGTGCTTGAATTTTAGAAGGGTCAAGAATATTGAGCATTTTTGTCCATAACATCTACAGACTTGATATCCCAAGTAAATAAAAGTTTTCTTTCTTCTTCGATAAGTAACACAATACACGTATTTTGAAAGAATGGCATCTAAAAGAAAATATCAACTAATTTTTTAGTGATCTAAAGTAATATTTGTATTTCTATTCATGAACGAAATAAACGATATGTTATGTTACCATTTCATTTATTTTTTATCATTGTTTTGTGAAAACGTGAATTAAATGCGTAATGATATCTGATATAGCAATAACGATAAACAAAAATACTAACATTTAAATATGCTTTCTTTTTAAGAAAGTCGCTATCATTAAAAAAAATTTAAGTAATAAAAAAAAGATTAAAAATGGTATTTTTCGTATCATGTTTTCTATTATGGCAAAAATCCTTCGTACTTCATATATAGCCAGAGAAAAACTTCGCATTATTGCTTATTGTAAACCAAATTCTTTACGAAATGCTCAACAAAAATATGGAATTAATTTTGCACAAATATCAAAATGATGTAAAAATGAATCAGCTATATCAAAAGCTAAATCTAAAAATCGCCATATTGGTGCTGGTTTAAACCCTTTATATCCAGATGTTGAAGAAGAATTAAATAAATGGATTGAAATGTTATGCCAAGATGGAATTGCTATTACAACATATATGGTTCAACAAAAAATAAAATCTCTCCTTAATAATGAATGCTCACAACAACATCCTAATGCTAAAAATACCTTCACAGCATCTTATAAATGGCTCTATAGCTTTATGAATTGTTATAATCTTTCTATTCATCAAAAAACAAAAATTAAACAAAAATTACCTAGAGATCTTTCTTCAAAATTAGAATTATTAAATATATTTATTAAAACATAAAATTTTAAAAATCAATATCCTTTATTACAAATTACAAATATGGATGAAACTCCAATTTTTTTTGATATGATTGATAATTTGACAATAGAAAAAAAAGGCATGCATATGATTCAACTTTGCACTACAGAAAATGATAAAAATCACTTTATATATGTTTTAACAATTCTTGCTGATAGAACTAACTTAAACCTATGATGATTTTTAAAGGCAAAAAAATTGCCAAAAGTTCTTTCTTCTAATATTATAGCTAGAATGCAAGAAGATAGTTAGATGAATCAAAATTTAATAATAGCTTGGCTTCAAAAAATATGAAAAAATCATTTTAAATTAAATGAAAAATCATTATTAATAATAGATAGTTTTGAAGGCCATAAAACAAGCTTGTAAAAGAAAAATATTAACAAAATAATATTGATTTGACTATTATATTCAACTATTAGATGTTTGTATTAATAAATTCTTTAAAGATAGAATGCATAAAAAATGACAGAATTGAATGGAAAATAAATAATATATATTACTAAAGGCAAAGATTTATGAAAATCTAATTATGATTTAGTTTAGAGATGATATATCTGTAGAAATAATTCATAATAGTTTTAAAAAATATAAATTATTAAAAATTAATATTAAAATTTATCAAATATATCAATATGCATATATAATATATAATTATATATTTTTTTAAGAAGAATAAAAAATCAATACAAAAATTCTGTCAAATATAATAATAGAAAAAAAAGATTAATATATTTTAATAATTCAATTATTATACATATTGAAATAAAAATGAATATTAATTATAATTTAATAAGTATAGGTCAGTACAAAAAGATTTGTATATTAATATAAAATTAAATAATTACTTCCATAATGATCATTATAAATAATAAGAATTGAAAGTGACACAAACTATACATAGAAAAAACTTGACTGTGTATAGCATGTATAGTCATGTTTTAATAATGGTTTATTTATCAATGTGATATAAAAACAAACCTAAAAAAAATAATCCTTAGTTTTTCCTCTTTTTTTCATTATAAATAAAAGAAATCCCAATTATTAATCAATAAGAGATTGTAAGTTATCTTTAAAAATTTAATGTTTATGATGCTCTAACTTAGCAAAAAAAAGTGATATTTCTCTCTCTATAGTATACAAATATGTCACTTAACTAAAAAAAAATAATAAACTCAAGCCTATTTCTTGCCTAGAACATCTTACAATTTTAACTTTTCAAGATCAATATGTATTAAGAAGAATCATTATAAATGATAAGTATCTTACTATGATAAAATTATCACAAAACTTCAATTTAAGATTAAAATATCTATGCAAATAGTAAACCATAAGCTTAATAAGCTTGGATATTATTCAAAACTTCCAAAAACTATATCTCTGTTTTCAAAAAAACATTATCTAGCTCAAGTAGAATAGATGAAAAAACATTGCAAAAAAAGCTGAAAAATTATAGTATTCTCAGATAAAACTATATTTTAAATATTTCAAAATATTATAAATATATTTTATAAAAATGAAATAAGTATTTTACAGAAGAAGATTTCAAAATATTTAGAGAAAGTTCATATTTAGAATGCATTTTCTGCATGTAAAACAATTAGCTTTTATATGTTTATCCAAAATATAAATATAATATTTTATCATGAAATTTTAACTAATGATCTTTTTGAAAATACATATAGAATTATGAGAAAATATTGAGTCTTTCAACAAGATAATGATCCAAAGTATTAAATCATAAAAATGAAAGTATTTATTCATCATCAGATTTTAAAACTTCTTGAATACCATCCTATAGTTCTGATCTTAATCAAATAGAAAATCTCTGGATAATTATCAAAAAAAGAATGAAGAAATAAGTTAATGAAATAGTTTGAAAAGAAAAATCAATTAGCATTAGTCATTAGTATAGATTAATTAGGAAAAAATGAAAGAATATTATCATCTTATGTCTTAACCTGATAAAGAGAATATTTAGTTATATAAATAAGATAATTGAAAATAATGGAAAAAAATAAATTATTAATATATATATATTTTTTAAATATCTATATTTAATTTATATTTCTGTAAAGTTATAAGTCAAATAAATAAAATTTACAAAATTTATGATTATAATAATGATTTTTATTACTTATTATGATTACTGTAATAAAAATCATTCAAATTTTAATTAATCTTTATAATTTTTTATATTAAATAAAGAATAATCTAAATTAACTTTTTATAGTATTTTAATTATTTTATTATACTTTAATTTAATGATAAATAAAATATTACTTTATTAAAAAAACTAAAATAAAATTATTTTTTTTAAGAAAAAAGATATTTTAAATATTATTACTATCAATTTGCAAGATTAGAGCTTTAAACTACATAAGCAGATTATTTCTAGATTTGATAAATATATATTTTAAATTTTATAAAAATTGAATTAGTAGTTTTAAAGATATTAAGATTCAAAGTTAAGTAATTAAATTATTTACTATATAATATTTATATTAATTTTAATCAAAAATTTTTTTATAAAAGATATATTTTTATATTTAAATAAATTCCAATATCTAATAACTTAATTAAATAAGATAGAATTAAAATTTTATTTTAAAAAAATAATTTATTAATATTTATCTAAGATATAAATCTTTTTGTACCTACTCATAATAATTAATAATATAATCATTTTTCTTATATATAGTTATTACAAAAAGTAATATCTAATTTATATATATAATAATATAGATAAATATATATATTATATTTTCTTATTTTTTGTTATTATTAATTCTTATTTTTTTATTATTTTCTTTTACTTTTAAAAATATACTAAATAAAATTTTAGATATAAATATAATATTTATCATATCAGTAAATCATCTTTAACAAGAATAAAAATAATAATTTTTATGAAGTTATAAGTAGTAATGGAAGTTGTAACTAGCTATAACTCTATTGCAATTTTTTGATTAGCTATTGCAACTCTACCACAACTTTCTAATTGGCTGTTGCAAGTTATAACTAGTTAAGAAATCATCTTTAATTATGAGTATCTAGCAAATTACAAAAAAAATGTGACATAATTCAGTTAGAGTATAATGATTTCTTGTCAAGTACAAAATAAATAGGAAAAACAAAAATTTATTGCTGTCTAAGAGATCATAAGCTCATAACTATCAAGAAAAAAATACATATATACAAGAAATTAAAAAAGATATTCCAAGTCATTTCATGATATTGATAATAAAAAATCTATGCAAAAACTTATCTAAAGATTCTCTAAAATAATTTAATCTCTTTAATATAATTTGTCTATTGTAATTTGCTTGGCACTGATTTACTCTATTTGAATTTATTTCATTTTTTTCTAATGTAGATCAAGTTATTCTCTCAAATCAAAAAATATATTATAACTTGATGATAATGTAATAATCTTTTATCAAGTACAAAAGAGATAGGAAAATAAAAATTTTTCACTATCTAGAAGATCATAAGCTTTTAAAAATCAAGAAAAAAATACATCTATACACTGAGCCATTTTATAATATTGGTAATAAAAAATTCATGCAAAATCTTATCTGAAGATTCTCTAAGGTAATTTGGTCTCTTTTTATAATATAATTTGTTTATTGGTTTGAGAGAACATGATGTTTCAAAAAATAAAACTTGATCTACATTAGAGAAAGAAGCCATGAATAGAATCAAATAGAGAAATCAACGAATATTGTGTTCTCATGATCTAATAAACTCCATAGAAATATCTCCAAGTCATTGGGGAATAATATTCTAAAATGTAAAAGCTTTTCAAGGATCACGTAAAGCTCAAGACTACTCTGAAGGAAATTCGATGTGTTGGCTTTTGAGGCGGTTGAGCTGAATACCTTGAGAAATCAAAGCGATATTAGAGCCATATGAAGAGTTAATAATTTATTATCTATTGGTAAAAAAATTTTATATTTATAAGACAGAAATAAAATAAATTCGAAATTTTATTTTTTAAAAATATCGGGTGTTACTTTTTGTGGCGACTGTACATTTATTGCTTAATATATTCATCATATAAAATCCCTCAACATTATACGTATAGAATATACAATAAGTATTTCTTTAATTGAATGTGATGTGTGTTTAACGATGCGTTACATATGACGAATTATCAAAATTCGAGATGCATGCTTAGCGTGTTATCATTATGTCAATTTACGAGAGAGAAAAGGCAAAACTACAGCACCTCGTATTCCCGCGTGGTCCCCCACCGCAGTACTGACGAGGCCATCAGTGGCTTAACTTCGGAGATCGGACGGGTTCCGGTGCTTTTCACTGTGTATGGCCGTAGTTAACTTTGTTTTCAAAGAAGTTTATTTAAAAGAATTATAACAATAATTTAGCGAAAAAATTTTATATAATAACCTATTTTCTCAACAATAAATTTCAATTACTATATTAAAAATGATAAAATTAATAACATAATATAATTTCCATATGTTAGTTATATTATCATTTGTTCTAATATGGTGGATAAACGAAACGCGAAAAGATGAAATATTAAATAGAATATTAATTGAATGCATGAATATTTTTGATTGATTCTGAGAAGTCGTTTTTTCTAATTCTTGAAAGTTAACGCTTTTTATTAATTTAGCGCCCGGTCTAATGATGTATTTATTTTTCTCCAACTCTTATATTTAAGGATAAATTTGATGAATGTTATTTGACAAATTAAAAGATTTAATTTATATAATTAGAAAACTATAGTAATTACATTTTTCAGTAGCAAATTATTCAATTATATTTCGTATTTATCACATATTAATTAGCTTAACGGACTTTTTATTATTTCACTAATAAACATGTATTGCACTACTTATTATCTTGTAA